ACCTTGAAGTCCGTAAAAGCCTCTGAAAGATTTAAAGTCAGGCAGCGATTCCATCAGATTTGGGTTTCTTAAAGACTGCTCTGGCTGCAGTGGGAAAAATCACTTGAGGAGGGGAAGAAAAAAAGCAGAAAGACAAATTAAGAGGCTATGACATGGCTCAGTTAGAAGATGACCATGACCTTGACTAGTAGGTTGGACACAGGTAGATAGATTCAAGGACCTTTTAGAAGGCAGATCCACAGGACTTGGAGGTTGACAGAAGCAGGGGGTTGGGGAGAGGAAGTAGTCAAGGATCATGCCCCACTTTCTGATTTGCATGCCTAGTGTCAGTGGTAGAGCTATTTACTGTATCAAATCCTTTGCTGAAGAGGAACAAAATGTTTGGGAGACAATAGTTAAGTCTCCAAGGACAGAGATTCACTACAACTAAGCCCTAGTCAGATACATAGGAGGTGCTTAAATTTTTGCAGATTAGAGCTTGCATGGTCCCTTGTATTATTTCAAGAAGCTCCTTGATAGCTCTGGGGGGGGGGAGGGCACCACTGATTTTATTATCCATTTCTGATATTCTTTCTTCCAAAACATCTACATTTCATGATTATTCATTTGGATACTCTCCCCAGTACTCCACCTCTAAAATTAGTGATTACAGGCACCCTCACGATTATCATCCAACTAGCCATCATGTCATTCATCCTCCTAATTGCTCGGAAGGGAAGAGATAATCAAGTGGTTGCTCTAATCTGAGAACCTGGTTTTCAAAAATTACTTGAAATCTAAATTGAGCTTTTTAAAGCAGCACTTAAATTTTGACTCCAGTCATTTCATTAAGACCAGCACTTGCTGAGAACTCCTTAAGTAAGTTTTGAATTACCAGCATCATGCAAAACAATGGCAAGGAAGGAAAGCTTTCTTCTGAGAGTGGCGTGGGTTGTTTTTTTTTTCTTTTTTGGCATAAACAGGATTTTTCTTGTTAATGTATCATTTGAGGTATTGAACTACACCTGGATAAAAGAGTGGTAAAACAAACACTGAGCTCATGCCCGTTCTTGTCAGGACTTCTCCAGCGGGGCACGCCTGGGTTAAACGAACCTTGCTCAGCCCAATGAACCACAAGGATATTGTTTCAAATGAGTGGGAGCAAATTTAAAAGATCTACGATCCTTTCCTGACTGAGCTATTAATCACACTACCAGAGGACGGGGAAGACCTAGTCACGTGGGGCCCCTTGTCAATGTTGCTGATGGAAACTCTCATGCTGTTGCTCCCCTGGGGACAGAACGGTTTAGGTGGAGGCAGAAAAAATTAACTTATTTTGTTACGGAAACGACAGGCCAGCCAAGAAACAAGCACCACTCGGAGGGTTGGAATACTCAGATGTATTACGCCAGCAGGCTCAGAGGGGCTTCTGCTCCGAAGCTCTGAGCACCTCCAAGACATGCACATGAGGTTTTATAGGTAAAGTACTGCTTGGGGTATTCGGCCAATAGGCATGGAACAGCTTTAGCTGCATCATTATCACAAAAGTGGAGGCAGGGAGGCAGCAAACCAACATTCCAAAGCCAGATATGTATCTTTGAAAATCCAGCTGGCTAGCAAAAAAAAAAACATGAACAGCAAACCAACACTAATTAACTTAGATTTACAAGTTAGTCTAGCAGAACTCAGAGGAATATTCTGATACTTAGATTTGTGAGTTATCTTGTTAGCCCAGCCCAGCCTCTCCTTCACATTCCTAGACTTGTGAGTTATCTTGTTAGACCAGCCCAGCTTTTCCTTCACAAATTCATTGTAGCTGTGAATGACCATAAAGAACTTTACTCAGTCAACTCGGAGAGTGCATATTCTCCTCTTGCTGGGTGAACAGTGAAGGGATGGGTGCTCTTGGGAACAGAAGACACTGACCCTGGTCCAGGCTTCCATCAGAACTGGCTGAAACAATTTCAGTGACTTCCCAGTTGATCTCCCTCCTTCCAGTCTGGCACTTCCAAATAGCAGCCAGAATGAGCTTTTTATGTATTTATTTTTATTTACATATAGTAAAAGTTGCTCTTTTGGTGTCTGTACATTCTGATAAATGCATACAGTATAACTACACCACCATCAAGATATAAAATAGTTCCCATATGATCCAGCAATCCCACTCCTGGGCATATATCTGAAGAAAACTATAATTTGAAAAGACACCTGCATCCCAATGTTCATAGCAGCACTATTTACAATAGCCAAGACATGGAAACAGCCTAAATGTCCACTGACAGATGACTGGCTAAAGAAGTTGTGGTACACACACACACACACACACACACACACACACACACACTGGAATACTACTCAGCCATAAAAAAGAAGAAAGTAATGCCATTTGCAGCAACATGAATGGACCTAGAGATTATCCTACTAAGTGAAGTAAGCCAGAAAGAGAAAGAAAAATATCACGTGATATCACTTATTTGTGAAATCTAAAAAAAAAATGAAACAAATGAACTTATTTACAAAACAGAAACAGACTTACATAGAAAATAAATTTAGGGTTACCAAAGAGGGAATGGTGTCAGGGGAGGAATAAATTGGGAGTTTGTGATTAGCAGATATAAACTTCTATATACAGAACAGATGAACAACAAGGTCCTACTGTATAGCACAGGGAACTATCTTCAATATCTTATAATAATCTATAATGAAAAAGAATATGATAAAGAACACATATATGTATAACTGAATCACTATACTGTACACCAGAAACTAACACAACATTGCAAATCAACTATACTTCAATTTAAAAAAATAGTTCTAACATCTCCAACAAATACGAGGGCAGGCTGCCCCTTTGTAGTCAGTTCCTTCCCTGACCCTGACCCCAGGCAACCACAGCTTCTGCATTTTTCCTTTTCCAGAATGTCATGGAGATGGAATCATACACAATGTAGCCTCTGGGGTCTGGCTTCCTTCACTTAACATAATGCCTCTGAGATTCCCCCATGTTGTCGGCGTATCAGTAGCTCGTCCATTTTTATTGCTGACCCATATTCCATTGCACAGATGTGCCAGAGTCTGTTATCTGTTCACCAAATGAAAGACATTGTGGTTGTTTCCAGTTGTTGGCAACTATGAATAAGGCCACTGTGAACATCTGCACACCAGTTTTTGAGTGAGCCTAAATTTCTGTTTCTCTTGTATAATTAACTCAGAGTGGGATTGCTGGGTCAGACGCTAAGTATGTGTTTAACTTTATTAAGAAATTGCCAAACTGTAGCATGAGCTTTTAAAAGCCTAATTCAGATCATGTCACTCTCCTGCCTAAATCCTGCCAACGTCTTCCTAGTACACTGAGAATGAACTTGAAGCCGCCCCACCTTTTGTGATCCAGCTCCTCCCTGTCTCCGTGGCCTCCTCTTCACCACCTGCTCCTCACTTGCTCTGTTCCATCCCTCTCTCTGATTCTTTCTCATCTTTTTCTCAAAAAGGCTGAGCTTTCCCCTTCTTCATGATCGTTCCACCAGCTTACAGTCCCTCTGCCTGGTGTTCTTACTCCACACCTTCACATGGCTGGATCCCTCTTGTTATCTGTGTCTCAGCTTAAACATCGCCTTCTCAGCACGTCTTCCTTGACCACACCTCCCAAGTCTAAAGCAGCCACCTCCCCCAGTCACCCCCTGTCACATCAGAGCACTCATCACTGCCTGATATTTTCTTGCTCAGCTGCTGCCACACTAGCTTGCCATTTATAAGTCACTCCTGGGCCTCACCATTCTTTTCCTTAAAGTGGACATAATAATGCACCTTCTTCTACTTGATGATTTATTTTCATGATATTACAAGCTTTTTGAGGCAGGAACTACATCATCTTTAAAATGTTCTATCTCAGCTATATTAATCATCTAAATCACCTGCACACTGTCATTAAAAAGTTCTTAGATGAAGAAAAAAAGTTCTTAAATGGGCAAATTCCCTTACTCTCTATAGCTGAATCTCTAAATTAGAATGAGACAAGTGGTTTTAGAGAGCACCTGGTGACGATCATAATGATGGAGATTTAGGTAATTGTACAGAGACATTTACCCTTTTGTCAGCAGATTTCGGATTTCTGAAGGAAAGGAACTCATGGGGCCCTTGGTGGGGCGGGTACACAAAACATAGTGCAGTCAGTGGTCGTGCTAGAGCTTGCTGGAGCCAGATGGCAAGAGTCGGATGTTATGTTTTCAGGAAGCTTGCTAGCCAGCTGTTAAGCCATTGGCAGATATTTGCACCACAGAAATTGGTAAACTCTACAAATGGGGGGCAGTTGTTTGTTTGTTTGTTTGTTTGATGTATCAGCACACCACTGACTAAGTGGTGATGAGATAAGTGTATTTAAAGGAGATAGAAAAAGATGGTCTTAGCTTAAAGATTGAGGGTCCCGAATGGATTTGTACTCTGGCTCAAACCCTTATCAAGTGTATGAACTTGAGCAACTTCATCCACACATTACTCCACACTCACTCACTCCCTGAGCATCCAGGCTGGGTTCCAGCATGGAATACATGTCTAAGGCCCCTGCCCTCCAGTAGCGAACAGTCCAGCAGAGGAAAGGACATGATTGACGTGTGGAGTGGGAAAGCATCAGGGCTGCAGGAACACTGAGAAGGGTGAGCAGCCAAGCTGGGGTCGGGGTGGGGGAATTCAGGGGTGATTATAGGAAGTGGGGAGGGTCCTCCAGGTAAAGAAGGCTCGGATGAGGCTGAGAGAAATCAGTAAAGGAAGAGTCCAATCGATTGAGGAAGAGTATCGTGGCTTATTTTAGCTTCTTTGGACCTCAGTAAAAGAGTCATATCTATGATGCAACAGAATGGACTGATATAGCAAAGTAACTGGGACATGTTGAGAAGAGATGGAAGCTAACCAAGGAGTGATGACTGAGGTGACAGCATCTGAGCTGGCTTCAGACTAGCCCAGTAGGACTCAGCTATTCACATGAGATCAGGATGACTAAATTCTCATCAGACCTTTTGTCTTTTCAGCCAAACCTCACAGCAAGACACCTCCTAGAGAAGAACAAAGGTCATCAGTCATCCCGCACACAAAGCCTGTCCCTCGTGTCCTCATCCTCCAGGGGCAAAGCAAGCAACACGCCCACCCTCCAAAGGGGCCCAGGGTCCCGGAGGAAGGGGCCTGGGCAGTTCTCCATCACAACAGCCTTGAACACTCTCAACAGGATGGTCCATTCCCCCTCGGGGCGCCACATGGTGGAGATCAGCACCCCAGTGCTCATCAGCTCCAGCAACCCCTCTGTGCTCACCCAGCACATGGAGAAAGTGGATGCTCTTCCCAGCTCTGTGGGGCAGGTAGGGAGCAACCTCGGGGATAAGGGCACCTTGGAGTTGAGCAGGTGACCCACACCATGTCACAAGCAATATTGGATGTAAGCACTCATAATGCATGAATAATAACTAATGTCACATGTATTACCTGCCCAAGCTGTATATACATGGTCTCATTTCATCCTTGAAACAGCCTGTGAGCTCGGTATTATTATTATTATTATCCCCATTTTATAGATGAGGAAACTGAGGTTAAGAGGACGGGGGTGGCTTTCCCATGCTAAGAGCCATGGTATGGTTCCTGTCCTCTGGAGAACTTCCCTGCAGGGTGATAATGGCCTCTGTTCACTGGGATCACAGTTTGACATTCACTGTGCCATCCTGTGGGAATTTACTAGGCATGACGTGGGAAGGAAGGAAAAGAAAGGAAAAAGAGCTATAGGTTCTTGGGTGTTTTCAGGACTGGCTACGTAATTTGCAAGGCTCCATGAAAAATGAAGTTGCAGGGCAAACGTGATGAAGAATTTCAAAATGGCAGCAGCAGAGCATCAAACCAAGTGAAGGGCCCTTCTCAGCACAAAGCCCTACACATGTCAGACACCATGAAGTCAGCCCTGGGTATTTTCATCTAGAGCATCTAGTAAGATAATGTATATAACATGTTTAGCACAATGCCTGGCACAAACTAAGCCCCCAATAAGCATTAGCTCTTAATACTATATTATTAATACTATGACTGTTCTTATAAGCCTAGCCACCAAGTTGCCAACTGAAGGGAGATAAGCTGAGGGGTAGTTGTGGCAATCCAGAAGCAGAAGGGCTTCTAACAGCATGAGGCTATTTAGGTTGAAGGGTCCTTTAAAAGATGAAGGAGGGGAGGTGTGAGGCAAAGTAATTAAGAACTGCATGCTGGGTGTTCTGCTGAAAACACTCTGGAACCACGCAGGTGGCAACTTGAAAGGACAAACCTCAGCTTGCACTGATGTTTTTTTTTCCCAAAGCTGTAAATTTTGTTTTTAAACATGAATCTCTACCCTGGGATTAAATGACTTAATTGGACTCTAATCCCTTTTTAACAAGACAAGGAGGAGGAGAAAGTCAAGGGCTCCTCCAAGACCTGTGTGCTGGTCTGAAAATAAAACAGTCCCCTCCTCCAGCACCTCATACGTTATACCGTTGTCTGTATCTCTAGGAGGCTGGCTCTTCGTGTAATTCTGCCCGCCACTTGCACCACGTATACACACACACACACACACACACACAATTACACTCGCCCTGCCACATACACTCTCCTTGCAATAAAAAAAAACAAACCATGAAATTTCATCGCTTTCCTACACACAGTCCAAGTGCCTTCTTACAAGTACATAACACACTCTGTGCCCAAAATTCTCCACCCACTCCCATCCCTAACACCCACACACATACAAACATACACACATACAGGGGCCTGTCACTCTCAGTTAAGCCAAAGACCAGCAGAATTTTTCTGAAACATTCTTTCTACATAGACATAGAGGTATGAAGTTCAGCCCACATGCAGTAGATCCAGGCTAGCCCACTCAGCTGTAAGTTGGGTTCCTAAAGGATTTAGCCTAGAGTCACTTCCTGTGCACCTTTTTAATTCTCTTTCTTGGTCATTTACCCCACTGACAGAGAGGCTGGACTGCAGTGGAGAATCCTAGGAGGATTCAAAACAAGTAGGATTCCTTCCTAGTTTTCACAGATGGTGAGAGTTCCAAAGGGTGACATTTGCATACCCTCTTCCCAGGGAACCACTGCTCGGTACTGATGGCCTTTTCTCACTTCAGATGGCTGTGGATTATAAGTAATTTCTCTATGCTGGCCCAGATGTTGTTAAAACCTCACTCTTAAAATGTCACATTTATGAGCTACATCTAAAGATGAGTGGAAAGTGGAACAAATGAAAAGTTCTCCTGCTTCCTTTTTCTCTAACACCCTTGAGAGTTTTGGTCGAGTCCAGCTCACCAGGCTCCCCCTACCTTCCCCATCTCAGCACTCTGCATAGCATGTAGTCCCTAGTAGGTACCCAATAAATCAAGGAATCCAGACTTTTGACTTAAACATCTGGGCAGACAGTGGTGACGTATACACAGACAGGGAAGACTGGAGGAGGAATTGTTTCCTGTGGAAAGATCACAGGTCAGCGTAACTCTTTCAACCAATAGACATCTGTTGAGTGCTTACCAGTCACCATAGTGAGTCCCGGGGATTCTACTACCAAAA